GTCTGCCGCTGGTCCCGAGGACATAGCTCCTCCAACGCGGCGCCTTGAATTTCATGGAATTCGTCCTCTTGACTAATTCAGTTGTCTGGCGTCTGTATTATCAAGTATTAAAAGGAGGCGCCTTGGTTTTAGCCTGGTAATCATGCCACGGGAGCTCCCTGGCATCTCTACGGCGCTGGGAGTGTTCCCCTCCCGCCGGGCACATTAACGCACGTCGGGGCATTTTTAAGGGGTCGGTTTCGATAATTTTAGACGACAGTGAGCAGAAAGGCCGACTAGAAGGATAGGCTGCCAGGAAAAAGACATATTCTTACAGTGAAACACATTTAATTCGGCCCGTGAAAAAAGGTTACCAAGGCTAGATCAACTCAACACCGAGCCTCGCCTCCTCTCCTTGGATTTTTAGCAATCTAACTGACGCTAGACAAAGATACCTTGGATATGTAGAAAGACAAGAGTCTTCGGAACTTAAATCAATTCATAAAAGTTACCTGTATTGCATGCTTTCTCCACTTTGCTCCAACAAACATCACAGAACGGTCCAGAAAACAATTCAATGGCTGCCATCCGTGCAGTCGATTACTAGTATCAGACTGCATCGCATATTTTTTGCCACGTGTCAAAAATGCTGCCTGGCGGATTACAATGGTACTTGTCAATTGTAAAATTGCCAATACGAATTTACATTGTTTATTTAAGAGCGACCCCTAGCAGCTACTAATATTAGTGCTTTGAATTGACTAACTGTGCCAACGAAGATCAACCAATCAGAAGAGACATTATAAAACAACTTTTGGTTAAGAATCTATTGGACATGCCTATTGGTCAATTAGCAGCTAATACATACAGTGCACTGATTAGTCAATTTGTTTAAGCATCGGGTTATTACCGTTTCCCGCACATGCGCCGAACAACGCACCCGTCCAACACCGCTCGAACAAAGTAGTCCCTGCAAATTATCACAATTTCGTGTTAAAAACAGCTTAATATTTACTCTAAATATCATTTTGCCATAAAACAATATTTTGTAAATGTTAATTTTCGATAGATCATTGAGCATTAACCATGATTATATATTTTACGTTTACCGGGTTGCCCAAGAGGCCTTGGCGGGCGTGCACCACTCTCATCACCGAAGAAATTCCGGCAAGCTTACGATCGGCTTGCGCGGCTATGACAAGTTACTAGCAAACGTTACTGTTTGAAAATATTCCCCGAAAAACACTTCCTCGCCTTCCGGTATTTCGTAGGTCCAGACATTTTGCCAACCGCCGTGCAGAAATCTTCAAACAGTCGATAAACAGTGGCCTTCTTGTCTGCCATTATAGCTAATACATTGGTGCAGTCCTGCAGTCAAATGCTAGGGGCCGCTTTTGATCCATGCACTTGACGCTCGTAATGAATGCATAACTACACACGCACCCCCATCAAACTCCTTTCAAGCCGTACCCGCTCAAAAATTCTGGCCGTACCCGGAAATTCGTGCCGTACCCGCGAAAATTTCATGCCGTACCCGGTAATTCGTGCCGTACCCTGTACTTTTTCGTACAGGGTATATAGACACGACTTCCGAGTGACTACGCACCGGGGCTGAGCGATATCCGCCATTATATTGGGTACGGCGAAAAAGTACAGGGTACGGCACGAATTACCAGGTACGGCATGAAATTTTCGCGGGTGCGGCCAGAATTTTTGAGCGCGTACGGCTTGAATTTCCGGGTACGGCTTGAAAGGAGTTTGATGGGGGTGACACGGTTGCAGTCTACCGCCGTTGAAGTTGAACTTCCACCGCGTAAAACTCATAACAGGCGGGAGTTAAAATGCTTTTTATCTATCGATAAGAAAGTTAACCGACTGTTAATACATTTTATAGCCAAGATTAGCTGATTTTGAGACTTATATAGTACATGAAGTAGCGTTACACTGCACTGTGTGTGTTGAAGTGGCCGCTCTGAGTCGGTTGAACCATTGCACTAGTTGAACCCACTTGAAGGTCAAAACACGAAAATTCGGTCTAAAAGCCAAGGAGAGGGGCACACATCAGTGTTGTATTAGTCCACAACTTACGGGACGCTGTTTGTGGCTAAAACAGAGGGAGGCAACCCTGGAAGTGCGAGTCAGTACCAGGGCCAGGCCGGTTCGTATTCGGCCTGCTAGCGGCAATCTGACCGGCCAACGTATTATACGGCGCGGCGTGTCTGAGACTGTTGGAAGTGTTGTCGCGGCCTTTTGAGCCTGGGAGGGGGGAGCATCTCAGTGTTTTGTTAGTCCACAAGTTACCGGACGATGTTTGTGGCTTTAACTTGACGTGAGAAAAACAGAAGAGGGGACCGTGGAAGTGCCAGTCAGTACCAGGGCCAGTCCCGGGGTCTAAGCCGGTCCGGACGGCCCGCTGAGTGTCAATCCAACGGTGCGGTACGGAGCGGCGTATTCTCGGGCCAGCCTGCCTGCGACAGTTGGATTCCAACGGGCTGAATGAACCGCCCTAGCCCCACAGTATTCTCCAGGGTCGAGGAAAGTCACCATATTTCTACCTTGCTTGTAAAATGACCTAAAAATGTACCGCTGAGCGCCGAAGTTCCCCATAGATCAACACCGGCTCCCTCCTTACAACCGCCCGGCAACTTTTGCGACCAAGCCCGCCGAAAGCACCCCCAAAACTACGCCTTCTCCTTCTCACAAGCAGTTACGAGAAGTTTATGTTATGATATTGAGTTATTTGTGATAGAAATAAGGTGATTCCGCCTCAAACTTTGTCGGTAACTCGGCGATACGAGCTGTTGTAGTGAGCGCTGAGTTTATCAACATAGCCACTTCCGGTTGCCGCGGCTTCGTCACTCGGTGTCTGAAAAATGATGCATTTTGCAAACGGCGAAACCGCGAGAGCCCGAAAAAATCAAGTAAAACTTCAAAGTACGCTCTTTCTCCTCCGTGGCGTTTGTATACTATTTTAAATGTACGACAGGACCGTTCAAAACTCACTGAAAATACTCAGCGTTTTCTAGAAAAGTTAAGATTTGTAGGTCGATCAAGTATCAAACGTATAACCCCAAAGCACCTTAATTTCGGGCGGTTGGAAACCGGAAGTACAGATAAAGACAGTCACTTGTAATGTAAGGATCCAGCCCACTCGCGGATTTGGGCGATTTGGGAATTGCCAAAATCAATGGGCTCGTAAGGGGTTTTCAACTTTTTACAGAATTTTTCATATTATGACTTTGTAAATAAGTTTACAAGCGGAAAACATATCATTACCTCCATGAAAAATGGAGGTATTGTTTTTGGCGTGTCTGTCTGTGTGTGTGTGTGTGTGTGTGTGTGTGTGTTTCCGGACATTTGCGGCCAGCATAACTTTTGAACCTTTGGATGGATTGTAATTATAGTCGGTATGTGGGTAGGTGTTGGGTAGCCAAAGGTCAAGGTCGATTTTGGGCATCCTGGTGGCTGACCTTGGTACCGCAGCAGAACTTCCGGTTTTAGTATCTTTTGTCCTGGACATGCTATGGTCTTGATTTTTGAGTGGTGGATAAGTCTTCCAGCAAGTAATACTAGTAAGTGGTGTGGGTTTGGTCCTCCTAGCAGCTTGTTCTGGAACTGCAGAGGGGTTTCTGGCGAAACTTTTCAAAGCAGATAAATTCACAACGAATCAATGTATTTTCATAATTTTTGGTAGATTTACAAACTGTCAGATTTCTTTCTGTTTCCCTAAATTGGCAATTATAGCAATACAAATGGACGAGTTTGAAAATAAAGAACTTCAAATATATGGCAGAAATATAGATGCAGGCATATAAATACTATGAAATAGGATGGTATCCAGGCTAGAGATTTCAGACCTTTGGCAAGTGTTTTGCCCATGTTTTTCGTGAAGGTATAATGTACATTTGTGGGGTGTATCGTAGCTTTCCTCGGTACTGCAAAGGAGGTTATCTATAGCTACTTGGTGCTGCAACAAAACTTTCGGTTTCAATGATATGTCGTAAGGATAGATAAGAAGTGACGTGGGCCCCCTAGCAGCTTGCAGTGCAGTTAGTTTAAAAATATAACTGATTGTCATCGTTTTTAGTAATTAGATAGCTTAAGTAATGCTTAACATAATGAGAGGACAAGTATGCATATTAGGAGCTAATCGCGGCATGATTAAGGTGGAATTCGAAATTCTCAATTTGCTGTGTTCCATAAAAGGAATTCTTGTTGACCCGGTTTTTCTGTTGTTGGGTGTAGAAAATTCCAACTCACCATCACTTGGGTGTGTCTTTGTTTGGTACAGACAAACTAAAAGGACTCGGGAACTCTTCAACCCACGATCCCTCAGGTATGTTTTTGTACATTTTCTGTTCGTTTTATGTACCAAAATGTAGCTTATTTTATTATTTATCATAACGTGGCTGGTATAAACTTTTTGTTCGGCTGGTAGTGTTATGCTGAACTTTTTTGTCCATGCACCATAGTCTGAGGGTTGAAAATACGCCAACAACCTTGCTATGTGTCTTGGTAGCAATATTGTGTCAACGTTGAGGATATATTAAGAACGATCATCGATCAGCATCAGTCGGCTGCTGATCTGTCGATCACATGTCTAGTCCACGACAGACGGTCTGCAGTTGGCGCAGCAATGTTGCCCCGACTCAGGTCCGTGCCCCCAGCGGGTTCAGGTCGTTGTCCTCTGACGTCCTTGAGGTAGCCTCCTGTGCAGGCCTCCGGGCGGGTGAGAGTTTTGATACTGCCTTTTGTAGAATATGCTCCGAAAGGAATGGAAAGGGACCGCGTTCTTTTGCCGGGCATCCTGCAACCAGCCGCCCAGAGAAGGTTTGTACACACCTGCCCGGTGGCCTGCACAGGAGGCTATCCTTGAGGACGGTATTAAGTTTAACAAGTATCAAGCATAGCGCGATATCTCGATGCGCGATATGTTAAAGAATTGCGAGGTTAAAAACCGTTAATTATTAACTGAAGATGCACACGCCTACTTAATGATACTTAATCGCTCTGCCCAGGTTAGACAATCAGTAACACCAACATGGCGAGCCTGATAACATCTCTTGGTACCGCAAGAGTCCGGATCTTTCGACCATTCACGGCGGTAAACCGATGCTTCACGACGGCAGACCGACGTTTCAAGTCGGTAGACCGACGTTTCCAGACGGCAGACCGACGTTTCAAGACGGTAGACCGACGCTTCACCAAGATAGACCCCGCCGTCGCCGACGAAGTGCTTCGATTCTCCCTCGATGCTCCCGTACATGAGGCCCTTACGCCGCCTTCTAGCTGGTACGTCTCACGAACATTACTTCCAATACTCTGAGAGTGGCTAGCCGGCTGGTTGTTATGGTTTCCGCCATGTATTCCACAAATGTACTAATATTGAAGCAGATCTTTTGGTGGCGGCAAAGACAGTATCAAATTGCCCAGGCAGTATCCTTTGCCACTACATGTACCATTTGCCACATCCTTTGGCTGACGTAACGATGACGGTAGGAAAAAAGAAGCCCGATAAAAACACCTAAAACACGTCAAAAATGAGGCAAAGCCCAAACCTCTGCTTGGAGAGTACAAATTTATGTATCCTCGTAAATGTAAATGACGCACACATAAAAGTATACGTAAAGATTTCGGTTCTACATTTGCGTATACCTTTACGCACGCTTTAAGGTATACTTAAAGGTAGTATTTCGTGCAGTGAAAGGCCTTGTATATACACACTTCAGGTACAGGAATCCTGGGATCCATGAGCTGGAAGCAGACACCGTGTGGAGAAACAACTGGGTGGCTGTAGGAAGGACGGACCAAGTTTCTACCCCAGGGGCATTCTTCACTGGTAATCACTATTGCCGTGATAATAAAGTATAAGTCTATTGCAAATTCCTGCCCGGAAGGTAACTGCAAATAAGAAATAGAACATTGAACAGGGTACAAAATAACTTCAAAATCTTCATAATATCACAAGGTAATTGTCTAAAACTAAAGCTTGTCTAAAACTATGTCTGAAGGGTTTGACTTCTCTTTTGTAAACCATGGAAGACGTAATGTCCCCCCCCCAGCACAACAACACACACACACACACACACACACACACACACACACACACACACACACACACACACACAAAGTAACACACAAACACACAGACACACACACAAAGTAACACACAAACACACACACACACACACACACAAAGTAACACACAAACACACACACAAACACACACACACCTTTCTAGCATCGCTGATGTTTCTGTCAGACATCTTGACTCTTCCATTTCTTTATCTTGCCTCTTCCATTTCTTCAGATCAGGTTGATGAGGCCTCTTTATAAGTCACTCACAACGCTTCCTCCTCTGAACAGGCACCATCGGGAGAGAGCCTTTCATAGTGTCGTCCGACAGGTCCAACACCCTGAGAGCTTTCTACAACGTCTGCTGTCACCATGGTAACGTCGTGGAGTGGCGGGAAGCTGGAGAGGCGAGCGAGTTCGTCTGCTGCTACCATGGGTGGACATACGCGCTGGACGGCAGGTCAACGCTAGTTCTGACTATTAGGCCACACTGACTTAATTTTATGGATGACATCCACGCGCGCATTGATTTTCGCCTGTCCTCCAAAAAAAAAAAAAAGATCACGTCCACTGAGGCCCTGGCTCTAAACCTGGGTAGTCCACGGTAGTTAGCGACAATACGAAGCCTGGCACCCAGGCTACAGAAGGTCCACGACTCAAGAACTGATTGTATTCCTGTGGTTTAGTAGCATTTTTAAGTTGGCCGGATTTTTTTTATTCGCCCGCGCGCACTAGTTTGGGGGTCTTCAGAGGATGTCATCCATAGAATTAAGGCGGTGTGGCCTTACACACATTTTCAGATATTGAGTTGCGACGCTAAGTATCGCATTCGTTCAATCCATGGTCGAGAGTCGGATACATTACAACATGAATGAAAACCAGACAGGTGTCAGGGGGGAAAGACCGGCCGAATGAAACAAGAATTGACCCAATTAAACTTTTACAAAATAGTTCTTCTCCATTAGAAAGACCTCAGGATACATACCAATTATAGGTAGTGTGTATCTAAGTCCAGTCTTATTAGTATTAGACCGTTCAAGTCACCAAGGCGGCCAATTATTTGAGTCAAACATCGTCATCACACTCACGCCACACTATCAGCTATTCCCGTCTTGGCCCCTGGCCACCATTAAAAACATTTCTTGTTTTAATCAACATAAGCACAGGTACAGCGACAAAGTGGTGACGCAGTCAAGTTTAAAACTTATTTCAACACCAACACCACAAAGAAAAGATTTGAGAGAATATGAAAAGAGAAAGAAATACAAGACTCATACTAGAAAAAGCCGACCAGTTTAAACATTTCTAAGACTTTCGATCGATGACGGAAGGTGCTAACAAAGTGTGACGTTACCGCTTGATTGCTAACTGGCTATCATCTTGTTTCTCTTGCCATAAGTAGGCTGAGGAAGCCAACAAAACTTCGGGGTATCAAAAACTTCGTGGCAGCACAAAACGGGCTGAAGCCCATAGGAGTGCGCACCTGGGGTCCATTGGTATTCCTTCGTCTGGCAGGATATGTGAGTAACCATGCAGCGTTGCACATTCATGAAAGCGCTTCTATATTGTTTTGTGTGTGTGTCTGTGTGTGTGTCTGTGTTCCACGTGGCCCTTAGGTAGGCTGTAATGGATATGTTTGGGTTCAGTCAATCCAAGAGCGAGAAAATCACTTCCGCATCTGGTAGCGCTCGCTGCTTTTATATATGTTATTCAACACATAACACTTGACAGCAGTTTCTCTTGCACGATAAAGATGGGATTGGAAAAGGAGATTGAATGCAAACAGATTACGTTGCTTCAGTATCCTAAAATAACATTTACAAAAGATCGCACATTGAGGTCTGAGATCCGAATTCATGTTGAAGATGAAGAGGGTGGGGGGAGGGGTTCTTTTCCTATAGTGCTTTCGTAGTCTGACCAATCGTATCCTTCAAGACAACACTTACTGGAAAATGACTTATCGTTCCCAAACTCTCCAAAGGTGGCGGTAGTTGTACATGTTTGTCATAAAAAGTACTAGTAATCAAATTAGACGGACAAGAAGCAAAATGAAGGCTGACAAATTCTGTAGCCTTCTGGAATTGGCGTAAGACCTGTATCTTATGAAAAGTAAACACGTACTTTCTAACTTGATGTTGATGTGTTTACGCACCAATGCTTTGTTTCTCAGCCGGACGAAGATGATTTCGACCAGAAGGTGGGTCCGCTGGCACAGGAGCTGGAGGAGATGGGGTTCACCCGCGGCATGCGCCACATCTGCCGCCGGCAGTACCAGCTCAGGTTAGTACTACACATCTGCCGCCGGCAGTACCAGCTCAGGTTAGTACTACACATCTGCCGCTGGCAGTACCAGCTCAGGTTATTACTACACATCTTCCGCCGGCAGTACCAGCTCAGGTTAGCACTACACATCTGCCGCCGGCAGTACCAGCTCAGGTTAGTACTACACATCTGCCGCCGGCAATACCAGCTCAGGTTAGTACTACACATCTGCCGCCGACAATACCAGCTCAGGTTAGTACTACACACCTGCCGCCGGCAATACCAGCTCAGGTTAGTACTACACATCTGCCGCCGGCAGTACCAGCTCAGGTTAGTACTACACATCTGCCGCCGGCAATACCAGCTCAGGTTAGTACTATACATCTACCGCCGGCAGTACCAGCTCAGGTTAGTACTACACATCTTCCGCCGGCAGTACCAGCTCAGGTTAGTACTACACATCTGCCGCCGGCAATACCAGCTCAGGTTAGTACTACACATCTGCCGCCGGCAATACCAGCTCAGGTTAGTACTACACATCTGCCGCCGGCAGTACCAGCTCAGGTTAGTACTACACATCTTCCGCCGGCAGTACCAGCTCAGGTTAGTACTACACATCTGCCGCCGGCAGTACCAGCTCAGCCTTTTCCCACCAGGGTAAAATTGTCCGGATGGTGTACCTTTGTTGTATTTGCCCCCGTCATCAGATGTAACTGGAAACTGATCGTGGATAACGCGGCAGACAGCGGATATCATTTGGAGTACGTCCATCGCGACCTGTCATCCAATCTGGACCTCAGCACCTTCAGAACAGAAGTGGGAGACATCTACAACATGCAGGTTAGCCAGTTCCCTGGACTTCTCTGTTCTAGAGATGATTAGGCGCGTAACGTTCAGTTATGACAACCTATCCCAGCCTTATGAACAAGATTGAACTGTGATTTTCAACACGTACGATAAAAATTGGACTCACCCAAATTTTCGACTGTACAACTCCAGTCAAGGAATGAGCAATCCAGCGTTTCCATGACGTCACGCGGATAACACACGACTCCGTGAGCAATGGATCATAGGTTGCAGAAAGTCCGTGGCGCCCCCCGTCTCTGTTGAGCTTATCTTAGCGTGATATGTAGTAGTTGTAGTGGTACTAGTAGTAGTAGTAGTAGTACTGTAGTAGTAGTATGACTTTACATATACAAAGGTACATCATAACGTAGCATAACTAAGCATTACAAGGCGTACTGATGTCTAAAATGCAATTATGGTAAGAACTTCTTATTGCCATCATCATATGTAGATCTTGTTCACTCATCTTCCTCTCTCTGTGCGTCCGATACGTGTGATAGGTGTGCATCGGTAAAGATGACAACGACAACACTTTAAAGCGTCAGCGAATCGGCTCAAAGGCGGTGTACTCCTGCATCTATCCGAACCTGCTGGTCAACAGGTACGGTCCGTGGCTGGACATCAACATCCTGCTGCCCCTGGGGCCTGACCGCTCCCTGATGATCTATGACTTCTACCTGAAGGAGAGTTTCGCGGAGGAGATGAGCGAGACAGAGGTACGGTAGTACTCTCCAAGCAGAGGTTTGGGTCTTGGGTGTTTTTTTTTTATCGGGGTTTCTTTTTTGCACTGGAATTTTTATCTTTTTTTTTGGGTGAAAGAAAAATTCCAGTGCAAAAAAGAAACCCCGATAGAAATAGTCTAAAAACATGCCAAATAACCCAAAACCCAAACCTCTGCTTGGAGAGTAGTACGGTAGACTGGCACGTCGGTAGAACGTACTGAGCCTGTGTGAAACCCGTCATGTACATGTATTGTACATAGCACTTCAGCAGAACGTCTCGTTAATATAATATTCACGCACTTAAGGATGACATCCCGTCTATATATAGTTTTCAAATCTTGTGTCCGAAAATATACCGTCTATAACAGCAGGCAAAATCCTGATGCAACGTTGGACTTAAGCTCAATTACAAAGCCTCATACGAGAGAAAAGCGGTTGCGTTGTAGTTTAACCATCGTGTAGAATTTATAACTTCACTTTTTGACTTGAGATCCTTGATAGTCTGAATCATGGGAATAACATTACACCGTGACTTTGATTCAAAAGTGAAAGCCTGACATTGTGTAATGTTATTCCCAAGTTTAGACTATCATGGAAATCGAGTTGTTCTCTTAAACTCTGAAATCAGACGTCTACATCTAACCTATTTACATTTAATTTCAGTTGGCGGAGTTTATCGAGCAGAGCCTTAAGGACAGTGATCAGGTCCAGCAGGAGGACACGAGGGTGTGTGAGGGGGTTCAGAGAGGCATGGAGTCCACTGCGTTCGACGTGGGACGTTACGCCCCCGGACCGGAAATGCCTGTGCACGCCTTCCACCTCCAACTCGCGCGAGATCTGAGGGAGGGATTGGAGCACCACGAGTCTATGTACAGTACCAATTGAAGAAATTAGCATAAAAGTTCATCTGCGCTGGCAAAATATATTATGAGAAAGTTTAAATTTCAGACGGGGGACGATGTCGACTTCCGACCAACTTTGACCCATTGTGACATTACAACTGACGTCACAACTGAATCCACGTGATCATAGCGTTCGGGTCAGACAGTGATTTGGTCGAAAATTGTGCCACGGTGAATAATTCTGTGAGTTGGGGCACAGTTTTAAATTTCTCATAACTGATTAAATTGTCTCGGGGGTATATACAAGTTTCGCTTTTGCTAACGATGTTATATATATGAAGAATAATAGCATGTCCCCATGATAGAATCAGGAACGATATAGATTATGGAATTGTGTATAGTTTCCTGTATTGGAATGCAATGCATAGGACTGATAAATTTAAGCTTTTAAGTCTCAGATATGTAGAATGTTAAATTCTAATATGCACAACGAGTCTATGGCAAAGGTATCTGTTGGAATTAATCTAAGAAAACACATTGCATTTGCAAAAACGCGTCATTTTAATGACTGGGTGCTAGACATGATAGCCGCACTGGTGGAAGATTGTTAGGAAATACTTTTCTATCTAATTTGGTTAGCCTTTCGTATCTAAGTGTGTAAGTTGGTGTTAGCTTGAAATACATGTACTGTAATACATATACTGCAATCCACTAAAAAGCTATGTTATCCTTCCTTGTATCTTGTGCTGTCACTAGACAAAATCCATATTCTTTTCACTAAAATTAAAGTATGCTAAAAGATTTCGTTTCTTCTTGCGTATACCTTTATGGATACTTTAAGGTAGGATTTCGTGCAGTGTCTGTTTGGTCTTCACAAACGACTAGCTCTAGTTAGTTGTTGTCATGGCAACGTCAACGGCTACATTTTGGTCTGCGGGCGCTCCTTGAGCCACCTAGCGATTCCCCGCTGGGACTGCACGTTGTCCATGACTTTGCTCAGGTTTGGGAAGCCGCCCAGCACGGCCGGGTCCATGGGCGTCACCCAGCCCATCAGGTTGAAGAACGCGATGTCGGCCCAGGTCAGCTGAGCAGCATGGAAAGGATAGAACAGCAAAGTTTTTTTTTTTTATTCCAACATGTAATCACCAGACGTGGTGACGACACACTCAAGTTTTGTCAACTTATATTAATGAATGAAAGACCTTTATTGTACGTTGGTGCTCTAACAAGCTAGGTACAGGTCATGGATAGACAAGGAAAAGAATACAGCAATGATATTTAAACTATACATTCTAATGTGATCTACTATTTACATTGTTCGATTTCTTCTCGCTTCTTGACGCAGTTATAGATGTACGAGCATATAGAATTAGTGATACATGGTTTGTCAAGTTTCATAAGAAATAGGAATTTTCTGATTCATTTAAATGTGCAAAGCTGGGGAACTTATCCATTATATAAGAATATAAGAAATCTCTCTCATTAATATATAACGTACAATCGACTACGAAATGGTATTCATTCTCAATCTTATTTAAATCGCAAAATACCGCCACCAACACTGGGGACAAATACATGACAGGACAATACTCATTTACACCTGTTCTTCATGAAGCTTATGAAACTAGACTCCATCTACGTCGATGAAGGTTAGACATCCAGGTAATAAGATACGCCAAAAAGCAGTTACTCAAGAAAATGGATATGATTTTGGAAAAGGTCAGACGTTTCAAGCTAGAGGAGAACTGCAGGTTTATAAGCACAAACTATTGATTGATTGATATGAAAATACGTGAAGATACACAGTTCGAATTCACTGACGAAAGCTAGTGGATACTAGCTTTTTGCCGTAGACTCCATCTGTTCATACGTCTATAACTGCTTTAAGTATATATATCTAGTAGCGAGAAGAAGTTGAACCTGTACATTGGCCTGTATAATTTTAATTTTAGTAAGATTTCACTGTAATTTTTTACTTCTGCTTTATTCGTGACCTGTACTTAGCTTGTAAGAGCAAGTCATCGGGAGGAGCATAAACGTTCAATAATGGGCTTTCATTCATTACCAACCACTTGTTTAAGTGGTTGGTAATGAATGAAATGGTTGCTAATATGACTAGTTCACTGTGCACTGAAGCTAGATGTTACTGGTTCACAATTACTTAACGTTTGGTTCAAATATAGATCTAAACATTGACATCAAATACTTCCTCTTTATGTGTATGTAGTATCTGTTTTTGTATCGTTCTTTCACGCAGAATAAGGTTAATTACGAACCGAATCACCAACGAAGAATCCCTCCGCGCCGGCTAACTTCTCGTAGTTGCCAAGAAACTGTGGAAGGAACGATCCTACAAACTCCTTTTGAAGCTCCGCCTGAAAATTAGACATTGGCAGTCAGTTGTCATTGGAAGACGCCCATATTATGGTGGTTTAGGTACTTTGGCCAGGCAAAATCAGTGTGTGCCAAATAATGGGCCATCCATGGCGGACATGTATCTCATTAACGATTACTGTATAGCTGGCTATGTTATACCGAATGGCTTGTTACACCTAGCCTTTGCACATCCAACTCTAAACATTCCTATTACACAAGCTATTTAGTGAAGATTGGTTACTGTATTTGGTATACTGTATTTCGTGGCAGCGAGTTACACTCTACGATGGTTCTAGGAAAAAAACCCAATCTTTGGTTGATATCTTTGGTACTTGAAGGCATGTCTATTTCTTGTTGGTCTCTGAGCTGGCATTGGGTACATTGTAGTTGGTACATCATTTATAATCTGGACAGTTGAGTGGTAAACTGACCTTCTTTTCGTCGCCCTTCTCATTGAACATGGCCACCAGTTTCCTCTGCATGTCGTCCAGCCCGTCCACAATCATGTCAGCTGTAGCCTCTTCTATAGGAGTCCGACCCGCCAGGCCTGGTGACAGGGCAAAGGCCAGTAATAACACTTGCACATAATAATACATATTGCATTTTTGTACCCCGGCAACCATGTATATACCAGGACTCTATTACTGTATTTTTAAAATGTATGTATATTATTGCACCATTGTACATAATTTGTATATTTCACTAAGCATGTATTTTGTAAATTGTAAAATGCATTCTATGTATGTCTACGTAATAGTTTTCATTTTCCCCCCAGGGTGTCCTTTAGTAATAGTCCTTGACTAGTTGGGACACCCTGGCTTCTTTGTAAGCCAAATGAATAAATAAATAAATAGCACCTGCTATCTTAATACTAGTACTTGGGAATTATGTTTGAAAAAAATGGTCAAAAGTCATCAACCTGAGTTTTAGACCATGAAAAACACACATAGACACGGTAATATATCTTTAAAGCGTCCATTTTGTCCGTAGTTAGAAAATTTTATACGGCAGAAACTATCTGACCCTGATACACAAGTGACAATTGACTAAACATCTTCTTGGTCAACCCTTACATGGCTGAAAGTTGTTTTTTTTTTTCAACAAAATAAAAAAGACTCAAACGGGCGATCACCTGTTGTCCTTGCCACGTAACGAGCGATCGTCATGCTCTGGCAGAGTGCGACGTCATCAACGTACAGTAGAGGTGCCTGGCCCATGGGAGTATCTGTGGGGTGAGCAGTAAAATATTACTTCATGAAATTAAATGTTTAAGCATACCTTAAAATACGCGTAAATGTTCCGTTTTTCAGTCAACGATAATAACGGAGCCTTTACGAATGCATACCTTAAAATACGCGTAAATGTTCCGTTTTTCAATCAACTGAAATAACGGAGCCTTTCAGATGCTTTAATGCATGTTTGAATATCGAATTTAGCCCTAAAATGATTTCATCAGGTTGGCACGAGTACAAAAAATTCTCACTGATCTCATTCCTATTCTAGTAGCACTGCTGTTTTACTTTCTTCATTCTTTCCCTTTATTTTATCCATCAGAACACGTACCCATTGAAGACCCATGCCCGTAGCCAGGGGGGGGGGTTCGGGA